TGGGCTCAGTTCTTGAGACAAAGATGCATCAAGTTAGTTGATGATTCTGTACATTAACTATGATTTCAGCTAAAAAGACTGCTCTCATTTTGCTTTCAACTGAGGCTTTATCTTGAATGTTACTGAAAGAGGCAAGGGTTTCTATAATTCACAAAATGGTGAGGAACTACCAGGTTTGGTCCTGCCCATAGGACATCGAATATAATGTAGAAGTCAGCGCCATTAGAAGGTCAACTTTAGGGCATCTCCAAAAGTGAATTTTTTTTATGTGTGTGCATGTGGGTCTGGTCTCTGTGTGACTTTCGCTTTATGTATATACCATGTATAGACTTACAATGACAATAAATTACAGTGGCGCTAGACGATGATAATCCGTTCCACTGAAATCGCTGTTTAGCGAAATCATTGTCTAGCGAAAAGCATTTCCCCATTGGAATGCATTGAAACCTATTTAATTAGTTCCAATGGCGAAGAATTGTCGTCGTTTAGCGAAGATCGGCCATAGGAAAGCCGCTTTGCAAACCGCCGATCAGCTGTTTAAATCGCTGTCTTGCGAAGCTTAGGTCCCGAAAACACCTGTTTTGCGAGCGCGGAGGGAGCTGTCAAAATCGTCGTCAAACGAAAATCGGTTTGCGAAGCAGGGACCAAACATTGTCCAGCGAAATTCCCCCATGGGAATCACTGTTTTGCGAATCGCTATAGCGATCGCAAAAAGCCAATGTCTAGCGAAAAAACTGTCATGCGGGGTAACTGTCTAGCGAGGCACCACTGTACTTTGAATTTGAAATAGGGGACACGGGGGCCAGACCACCACGAAAGGTTATTTTTCACTGAGTTCAGCAAGTCTCATCTCCAGGTCTCGAACTTTAAATAAAAATAAATGGTAAACAACCCCCTCCAAAAAAAGTTTTGGTCTTGGGCGGCAGGTTAAGTATTGTTAAATGGTTAATTGTTAGATGTGTGATGGCAATACGACTGAACTAGCTGTAGAATAGCTGTGTGTCTTTTGTTCGCTGTGACCTCCAGGAAGTGAGGATGGTTTTTGTATCTTCGCCGTGGTTGGGCTTTAAATATTGCATTTTAACCCTGTGAGCCGCCCTTGAGTCCTCTTTTGGAAGGAGAAAGGACAAATATTTGAAAATAAAGAAATAAGCCATTAAATAATTTAGCGGAGGATGCCCCTCAAACCTCGTTATTCGCGTCCATCAAAAACAATGAAAGACTGGTTTTGTCTGTTTGCTTTGTACTGTTTTTTGGAAAATAAATAAATAAAAAAGCTGCAGCAGAAATAAATGCATTAAAATGGTAAAACAAAAACAAAAAAAAATTGAAATACTCCCTATTAACAGTAACCGGGTTGGGGGGAGAGAGATTTTTTAAACTGGGGAAACAAACAGGAGGATTTTAAATATACCTCTTATGTATTAGATCTCAATTGGGCTTTTTACAACAGCTGTTTATTTATTTTTTTAAAAATCCCTGCAAAATACATTAAATCCATTCATACATTCAACACACCATCCAATGTGCCATGAGATGATTTAAAAAAAAAAATTACAAAGTTTGTTCTGTGGAAGGAGGAGAAGCCTCTCCAGCAAAAATAATAAAAACAATATGAAAAAAGCACAAGAAAAATACAGAATAAAATGCTCCCCCCACCTTTTAAAATCAGTGACACCCAATGGAGAAGGAGGGGGGAGGGTTTCCAGTTAATTAAATCAAAAGAGCCTCCCCATTACATGGAAAAAGGCTAATAATGTTGTGGTTTAATTTTTTATTTATTTATTAAATATTATTTATTTGATGAGGAGGATGGTCTTTGCCTCTTCGCCGTGGTTGGGCTTTAAATATTGCATTTTTAATCCTGTGAGCCGCCCTTGAGTCCTCTTTTGGAAGGGAAAAAAAGGACAAATATTTAAAATAAGTAAATAAATAAGCCATTAAATAATTACCATCCCCCATCGGAACCAGGGCTCACCATTTTGGACGCCTCCGCCGGCCCGTTTACCCGTCGCTATAGCAACAGAGGACGCGCCCCCCTTCCCCGCCGTCATGGCGACGGAGGACACGCCCCCTCTCCGCCATCTTGGCAGCGGAGGACGCGCCCCACCTCACCGCCGCCATGGCGACGGAGGACACGCCCCCTCTCCGCCATCTTGGCAGCAGAGGACGCGCCCCACCTCCCCGCCGCCATGGCAACGGAGGACACGCCCCCACCCTCTGGCGCGAGCGTTCTCCTGAAGGGCGGGGGGAGGGGGAAAGAGAAAAAGAGACAGGAAGTAACGGGCGGCGTTACTAACTCAGAGGCGGGGAACGCGAGGAACGGCCGCCAAAAAGCTTTCCTGGCGTGCCTTCCATGGACCTTAGCGCACTCTCTCGTGACCCTGTAGTAGCCATGGGTTTTTCTCCCCCACAGGAAAAAAATTACAATAATAACGTAATTAGGAAAACGGAAGTATTTTTTCCCCCACCCAGTAACGAATTGCAAGGCCGCATGCGTGCACACATGATGACCCTATAGGGAGGAAATCCTAATTCTCCGCCTTGTGACGTTTGCCTGTCTATAAAGGTCATTTTCCCCCCCCCCGGAGATTGGAAGAGACGTTACATACTTCCGTTACCACGGCGTGGGTTGCGTTACTCAGGAATGGACCGAGGAGGGGAGGCTGCGGCCCCAAATCCTTGCTCGACCCTGGAAAGTGACGGGGGGGGAGGGAGTGGGGCTGATCAAACCACTCCTCAAATCTCTCACATACTTTACTTGTTTCCTTTAAATTAAAATCTTCATCTGCTCCCTTTTCTGCCAAAAGTGGTTTACAATCTGAAAAGAAGCCACTAGTAAAAGCCAAATAATAAATAACACACGGTTCCAATATCTAAAAAGCCTTAAACAAGGGGCATATGAAAAGTCATATAATAAAAGCAACGTGAAAAGCACAAGGAAAACACAGAATAAACCAGCCATTTGAAGCAAAGCCAGGAAGGTTGAATTCCACTGCAACAAAATAATCAAGGATTTTAATAAATACCTCCTTCCATTAATAGAACCGTCACTAAAAAGCGATTTGGGAAATATGTTAATAGAGCAAGTTATCAAAACTCACATACACCACTGAAATTGTGATTACTTATAATCCCACACCTTGGAAATCTTAATAAAAATAATAATAAAGATAGATAATAGATAGATAGATAGATAGATAGATAGATAGATAGATAGATAGATAGATAGATAGATAGATAGATAGACAGACATGATTACTTATACAGTAATCCCATACCTTGGAAAGTGTAAATAATAATAATAATGATAGATAGATAGATAGATAGATATGATTACTTATAATCCCCTACCTTGGAAAGTGTAATAATAATAATGATAGATAGATAATGTGCCATCAAGACAGTTCTGAATTATGGCAACCCTTTTCAGGGTTTAATTAGATTAATTAGGTAAATACTCTGATGCTTTTAATATGTAAGATAATTTGGAGAATTGCAATAACTGTTTCTGCATGAGGGCATGTTCGGTTGGAACTGATTTATAGCCACCCTAATAGAGCTTTCAAGGTGAATTAGATATTTAGTGAGTGGGTTTACCAGTTCCACTCCTACAGTGAATTTTCCATGGCTAAGTGGAGATTCGAACCCTGTGCTCCAGAGTCCTCAATTCACCATTCTCTCCACTACAACTTGCTGAGAGTCCTGTTTATACAGAAGATCTGAAAAGGCATTTTAAAGGGACCTGCACTCCCAGGCAGAGGAGGGCCGAAAGCACTTCTGTTGCTGAAGCACAGCATGGTGGGGATTCGAACTCTGAACCTAAATCACCGAGCAGCGTCAGTCATCATTATGCCTCATAAAGGACCTGAGGTCCGTTTTGACCTCTCTTGACCGGTGGCCGTTGTGCCACACATTACTAAAAATCCCAGGGGACGGAGAACGGTGAGGTTTTCATAAAGATATGTTTTTACCAGCAATTATTTTTATTTTTCAAAGCATTGTTTTCTGTTTCTTTTTCACACTTTATATCATTCAATGAATTTGAAATACTTCTTGTGGGTTTCTGTTTATCCTCTATCCGAAATGACAAGAGCAGTGGGCAAAATCGCGTTGGCATAGAATCAATCAGATCCAGCACGGGAAATAATGAGTTCCGATTCATTTAAAACTTGCTATTTCCCCCACCCCTGTTAAGGGTCCGAACCTCCCAAAAAAAACCCCCAAAAACCCTTTTCAGGACAAAAAGGGGGATTAATAGGGCGCCTCAGAACCTGAAGTGAAGGAGGTGAAACAGGAAACTTTCCATGACTTTCAGATGATTGTTTCTTACACTGGCTACTGTTTACGTCATCATAACTTTCTGCAACAGCCTGTTCTTTTCTTCGAAGTGGTTGAAAGAATTTTGAGAGTTTATCAAAACAGGGGCGTTCTATAAAACGTTTCTTCATTAGAAGCCATAGATAGACAATATGGGAAGTGAAGGAGGTGAAACAGGAAACTTTCCATGACTTTCAGATGATTGTTTCTTACACTGGCTACTGTTTACGTCATCATAACTTTCTGCAACAGCCTGTTCTTTTCTTCGAAGTGGTTGAAAGAATTTTGAGAGTTTATCAAAACAGGGGCGTTCTATAAAACGTTTCTTCATTAGAAGCCATAGATAGACAATATGGGATCTATAATAATAATAATAATAATAATAATAATAATAATAATAATAATAATAATAATAATAATAATAATAATAATAATTTATTATGTCATTGACCAGCAAAAAGATGGGCACTGTAAAGGCCCCGTCATCCAGCAAGAAGTATCCTCCTACCACCTTTGGGGAGAATTCAAATGGAATTTCTTGAACTCACAAGAAATCTATATAAATTAAAAATATCAGCACCCTCTGGATTAATTCTCTCCACCTCTCCGCCTATTGCGCATGTGTGTTGCAATTCCGGCTAGCCATGGGAAGCCAAAGCTGTTCCCCACATTTTATTTTTATTTATTTTATTTATTTCATTTATACCCCGCCTATCTAGTCAATTGTGACCACTCTAGGCGGCTTACAACATGCACTTAAAAATAAACATATAACATATAATATCCTGGCGGTACGTTGCCCCCTTAACCCTGCTGTGAGAGTGGCTTTATCCAGAAAATAAAACATAACACAATTGCTTTCAGGAATTCAGGGGAGTTTGAACTGGAACTGAAGCATCTGCATTTAGTGGCCAAGCCCAATCTGCAAAGGTGTGCAAGAAAGAAAGAAAGAAAGAAAGAAAGAAAGAAAGAAAGAAAGAAAGAAAGAAAGAAAGAAAGAAAGAAAGAAAGAAAGAAAGAAGAGAGAGTGCCAGAGATCATGTGCAGAGTGACCCTCACTCTTAGTATTTATTTATTTATTTTATTTACTGTATTTATATCCCACCCATCGGGTCCATTGACCACTCTGGGCGGCTAACAACTGATTAAAAATAAAACAATCTAAAATATAACAACAATATACTCTCGTCTGTTCCCGTAACTTCTGAAGTTTTGCTTACTCGACGTTTTTCACCCGCTTTAATAAAAAATATTAACTTTCACAACTCTTGGGTCGTTTGGGACGAAGAGAGTTGGCCTTCCTCGAAACGAGGCCTTCTTCAATCATCTGTCGGGAACTGGTGTATTTGTGGTTGTTTTTTTAAAAATAGATCTACCTTGCAGGTTTGGCATAAGCGTTAAAGTGCTCAGCCTTGCAGGGGTGTTTTTTTTTTTGTAACCCCCTGGAAGCACTGGTTGGTCAGAGAGTACTAAAGTGTTAAGAGGTCTGAGGCAGGAAGATTCCCCCAAGCCAGCCATCATCCTATTTGGTCCTCACGGATTTTACCCACACCAGGAATTCAGTGCAACCATAGGAACAGGGAATACCCCTTTATTGGACCATGAAGAAAATAAAAATTTAAAAAATGAAGTGAGCTTTCGATGATGATCATCTTCCTCAGGCTGTGCACCAAGTTCTTGCAGGTAGCTCGAAAAGGATATGTTTATAATAAAGTCCCAAAGTTTAATGGCTGCTTTTCGGGGCCAGATGTAGCTTCTTAGGCGGAGGAGGTAGCCATGGTCTGCAAGACATTTGTACGGTGTGTAGTTTCCATCCCGTCTCCAGCCAGTGGTTTGGAATTGATCACCCATCCAGTACAATGACATAGGTGGACTTACCCCAAATTTCTTCTGAACCAGGAAATTCCGGGTAGTATTGCTGAGTGGTTAGTGTGGACCTCTCTGATCTAGCATCATCTTGGCATGTGTGCTTAATTTTTCCTATGAGCAGCTTCTGCTCTGGCGCAATGTTGGTGAATGGAACTTCGAGGAATACAGTCCATAGCATGCAGTTTTTTGGGGGTGGCTCTACGTATTGCTGTTGCTTTTTCACTCACTTTTCAACGCCATGGATTGTTTGTATGGATTAGGCTAGGACACAACAATATATTTATCCCAACTAAAGAATCTTGATCCCTAAGTCCAACAGTACTACAAATATCAGCCAGTCCTTCAAGGATGGAGAGCTTTTTAATTAGAAATATTTGTATTGCCACTGAGCATGTACAGAACATTTTATGAGCCACTCAAACAACTATGGCCTCCACCTTTATGGAGACGGGGGGTCCCCAATTCAAAGGATCAGGTAACCCCAGAATCCTATACCGACTTTTCGTTGCTCTTTGTTTTTTTAGAAAGTGGGGTGTAAGCTTAACAAGTTCAGCTAATTCGTCTGGTATTTTCTGTTTGATAGCAGCACAGAATACAGTGGTGCCTCGCTTGACGAGGATAATTTGTTCCATTGAAATCGCTGTTAAGCGAAATCCTTGTCAAGTGAAACGAAAAAGCCCATTGAAATGCATTGAAAACCGGTTCAATGTGTTCCAATGGGCTAAATACCTCAGCGTCCAGCGAAGGTCCTCCATAGGGGTGGCCATTTTCGGTGCCTGTAAAGCAAGGAATCCATCCTAAAGCACAGCGGGGAGGCATTTTGCACAGCAGGCGGCCATTTACAGACGCTGATCAGCTGTTGTAAAATCATCATCAAGCGAAATTTCCCTATCTAAACATCGTTTTGCGGTCGCATTGCGATTGCAAAAACCTCATCGTAAAGCAGATTTGTCGTTTAACGAGGTAATTGTTAAGCGAGGCACCACTGTAAATGAATTTGAAAGGGTCCTATTAAAGCCACTGAGTCCAACCATCTACTGAAGGCAGGAATCCTAATCAAAGCAGAGAGTTGTCCAATTTTCTCTTTAATGCCTCCATCGTTGGAGCCCTCACCACCTCCTGAGGTCATGGGTTCCATTGTCGTACTGCTCTAACAGTTAGGAAGTTTTTCTTGGTCTTCAGCCTAAATCTGGCTTCCTGCAGCTAGAGCCCATTCTTATGTGTCCTGAATTCTGGGATGATCGAGAACAGATAAGAGCCCATTCTTATGTGTCCTGAATTCTGGGATGATCGAGAACAGATCCTGCCCATCCTCTGTATGACTACCTTTCAAGTATTTGAAAAGTGTTATCCTATCTCCCTTCCGTCTTCTTTTCTCAAGGCTAAACATGCCCAATTCTTTCTGTCGTCCTCCTACGGCTTGGTTTCCAGTTCCCTAATCCTCCTTGTTGCCCTCACACAAATTAACCTTCAGTTGCTCATTGCTAAAATGGATGCTGTACCTTGGAATATAAAAAAATATAAGGCAATAGAATAATAAAATAACAAAAGGAAACGGTGCATTCGTGGAAATCTTAGCTTAAAAGAAGGGGAACTTGCAATCCTACGATGTAGAAAAGATGCAGTAGTACCTCGGTTTACGAATGCCTCGGTTAACGTAATTTTCCGTTTACGAACGAAAATCCATTGAAAATAATGCCTTGGTTTACGTTTTCCCCACAATACAAAGGAAGTTTCCCAGGATGCATTGGGCCTGGAGGTTTATAGTACCGCCCCCCCGTTCCTATGGCAAACTGCGTTTCGGTTTACGAATTTTTCTAATTACATAATGTCCCATAGAATGCATTAAATTCGTAAAGCGAGGTGCCACTGTTAATGTTCTTCATTTCAGTGTAAAGTGCCCAATGCGTTTCAGCCCATCAGCCTTCTTCAAGGGCGTGTTTATCAAACTCTAACGAGCTCTTCCTCCATTTATTTGGTCCGCAACCGGTTCCATTAAACCAAATTGACCTTGGAATAGCCAGAAAGCTTGCACTGGAGACCGCGTTGCATTCTATATTCGCGACCAAGAATCTCTCAGAGGAAAGAGGGCTGAGAGCAACCCATCCATGGCTTCAGCAGACCTAGCCCTACCATTAGGCAGAATGAAGCAAAGGGCTCCGCCAGCAGATGCAGAGGGAAACAGCCGGTGACGGTCCCCTGGCTCATTTCCCTCTTTCGGAGAACCGAACCGGCAGCCCTCGAACGCCCTGGAAAGTACCGTGAGGGATGCTATCCCGTTGGCAGTCTCGGAAAAAAAAGAGCCACATCGCCCCAGTCCGATCATCTCCTGCACGTAGAAGGCAATCCTTTATCATTTGGGTCATGCTGATATAGCTTTTAAGCTTGCAACCTACACATTCCCTTTTGCTACCCATTCCTCAACTTCCAGGGTCTTCCTGGTGTGGGAGGAAGTACAGGGTCAGTCACCCCCACCCCGGCGTGCTCCATCTCCCTATACCCCAAATTCAGACACAAGAGGCAGGAATAGAAACAAAGAATTGTGCAACGTTTATTTCTTATCAGTGAAACCGGGGCAGGATATATATTCCACACCTTCTTTAAGACATCCATTTGAGAGCTGGTCCTTTAACCCAAAATAAGAAAAGACTTTAGGAAGCACAGCTTTCAGCCAGGCTGAGCCAGGAAGCAGTAAAACTCATAGCAAAGGCCAACAAAGCATTTTCCCGCATCACGATTTCTCAGGATTTGCCCAGAGCACCGAGCAACGCCAAGCACGAAGCTCGTTCGAGTAACCGAGGCTCCCGTTTCGACAATCAACCTCACCCTGAAAAAAAACAGCAACCTAAGGAAAGAGTAGGATTTGAGGGACTCTATTTGCAATCTTCCTGGTAGGTGCGTGGGGATGTGCATAGATTGGCGGAAGGATGACTGAAAGTCAAAGATACCGTCAAAGAACGGAGAGTCTAAAGCTATCGGTTCGCCCCTTCACGGGAAAGCTACCTGGAAAAACAGCGAAGAGAAGCGGGGTCTATTTTGGTCCAAAAGAAGCTGCCATTAAAAGGAAAGCTCAAGCAATGCTCTAGATAGTGGAATGTAAACTGTTTTTTTAAGGTGCCTCGGGACTAAGCCTTCGGAATTTGGTCACTGGAACCATGTTTTGGCACGATCCGTGGAGAGTCAAAGGAGTGTGTGTGTGAGCGAGAGAAAAAGGAAAATCGCTTTGCTTTCTTGATCCCTGTATTATTAGATGTGTTTGATCCATATGATAAACGACAGCATCCCCTAAGTTGGAAGAGGCTTTTGAAATGGTAGGGTGGAGGGGGGGAGGTCTAGAAAATTCTCGATTAAAAAAAAGAGCAGCCAAAGGAGAGCATCCTGACAAGGACAGTCATAGGGAAGAGAGAGGCTAAGGGGGGCAGCAGTGACTCCACCCGGGCGCCTAACTCTTTAAGGTTTCCGGTAGTAGCACAATTTTGGAGAGATTCTCTTCGGTAAGGCGCCGGGAACAAAAGACGGGATTCCGAGGGTCGCCGGGCTCAAAGGATCTGGCGTGGCATACCATAACCCGTCATGCCCGCCTGAGACGCACCCCGATTCGTGCCCATCTGCAGCCCGATGACGCTTTGGCCCTCCTTGAGCTTGTCCTCTGAAAAGGCACGACGATTCTCCTGGGATTTCCTGGAAGGGGGGAGAGGGGGGGAAAAAGGATGAAGAGAAAGTGAGAAAAGATACAATCATAAAATTTTGGAACGGCAGAGCTGGAAGAGATTCGGTGGATCACGTCAAGGAGGTCCAGCGGGAAATCAAAGCCCCATCGTCCGGCTTTGCAGCCAAAGTGAGCTAAACCAGCAGGCTTAAGTTAGGAACAGCCGCAGGAAGGTCCCCTCTCGTTTTCCCATCACATGTACCTGTGAAAGGAGTGGGACTGCAAGGAAAGTCTCCCCAAAAGATCTGAGAAGCTAAGAAGGTTCGCGTGGGGAGATGTGGTCCTTTACATGCCCGTCTTGCTTGAAGGTTCACCGAACCATACTGATTTTAACCAACTATTTTACTTTTTAGTGGGTGGAACTGTGTTGCTGATTGCAATTAGTCACACTAGAGACAGTAGAGTAGGCCCATTTGACTCAAGGGAATTTACAGGGACGTAACTAGGTCATTCTGGGAGTTGTAGTACCAGAAAATTAGCTGGGAGTGGTAGTCTTCTTACCACGAAGAATCTCAACAATTCTCTATCTTCTGTATTCTGTATCCCTTAATTTTTTATTTTGGGGCAGTCTTTTCAAAAGAATCCATCTGAGTAGCCACTGCGAATATCAGCCTATCATTTTTATTGGCTGTATGTTTTTAAAATGTCAACTTAATATTAACTTCAGTTTTAATAGCGTTTATGTTTTATGTTACTGTCAGTGTTGTAACACCACGCAGAAGGACCATAGGTCAGATGGGTGGTCCAGAAATACAGTGGTGCCTCGCTTGACGAGGTGCAAAAGGACCATCGGTCAGATGGGTGGTCCAGAAATGGAAGTAATACAGTGGTGCCTCGCTTGGCGAGGATAATCCGTTCCAGCGAAATCGCTGTAGAGCAAAATCCTCGTCAAGTGAAATAAAAAAAGCCCATTAAAACGCATTGAAAACCGTTCAATGCGTTCCAATGGGTGAAATACCTGCTCGTTCAGCGAAGATCTTCCATAGGGCGGCCATTTTCGGGTGCCTGTGCAGCGAAAAATGCCTCCTAAAAACAGCGGGGAGCCATTTTGAGCAGCCGGCGGCCATTTTGAAAACACGACAATCAGCTGTTTTGATCGTCGTAATGCGAAGAATCGGTTCCCAAAGCAGGGAACTGATCATCGGGAAGCGAAAAAAGCCCATTAAAACATCATTTTGCGATCGCAATTGCGATTGCAAAAACATTGTTGTGAAGCGGATCCATCGTCAAGCGGGATAATCGTTAAGCGGGGCACCACTGTAAAATAAAATAAATAGTATTCTACCCCTGCCACCTTACGTACACCACCCTAACATTCGGAGAAATGAATCTTGCAGCGGGGTGCATTCTTGTGCCAAGAAAGACTGAAAAACTTTGCAAGACACGTCATCCTCCTTCTGGGAATCAGACTGCACAAGGCCATGCCACATATGAACAAACACACACATTCTCCTTGACTTACTTCGGGAACCAGTTGGGGTCCCCAGTGAAGAATTCGTCTCCCCGAGAGACAGCCAAACCTCCCAGATTCATCAAGGTCCTCTGTACGCAGGCCATGTTTTTACCTGTGTGGGGGAGAAATTTAGAAGCGAAAGAATAACAATGATGCACCGTCCAATCAATTCAGACCCAGGGTGACCCTTTCCAGGATTTTCTTCATAGAGGGTGGTCAGAAGGGGGTTGACCGTTCCTTCCTTCTAGCCCTTGGGATTGCCGCTTTGCTGGGGAAAAAAATCTATACAGGTGTCTCTTCACCTGGAAGACGCCATGGGGAGTTACGTTTGAGTAACACTGCAGATCACAAAGCCTAATATCATTCACAGGTGGCATTTAGGGTCACTGGGCTGGGCATAGTCCACCTGGCACGGGAAACAATAATGTACAAAAAAAAGGAAAGGAAAAAAAGGCATATAGTTCTTGCACACAATCAAAAAATAAGGTGGTTTGAGACCTTTATTAGACCACTAAAATCTAAAAGAGAGGACTCCCTGGAAAAGACCCTGATGTTGGGAAAGTATGAAGGCAAGAGGAGAAGGGGACGACAGAGGATGATGAGATGGTTGGAGAGGGTCACCAAAGCGACCAACATGAATCTGACCCAACTCCGGGAGGCAGTGGAAGACAGGAGGGCCTGGCGTGCTGTGGTCCATGGGCGTCACGAAGAGTCGGACATGGCTAAACAACGACAACAAAATCTCACAAGCAGGCAAGCTTTGATTCCACCCTTCAATCCCTACCTTTGATTCACACATCTCATCCCCACACTTCAATACAGAGAGAGGAATTTTAAAAAATTACGGGACGATGCTTATGCATAGAAGGCAGTGACATCGGTGTTGGCAAAGGTATCACCTATAGATTTTAGCAATAGCATCTGCCGCTTTATTTTTTTTGATCGTGTGCAAGCGATGGCTTTCCTCCCTAATTTTGGCTGCTGCTGTTGTACATTTACAGCGAGAAACCCTTTAACAAAGCACTAGAAACGATGCAAGATGTGAGTCAAGGCTCCCAAATACGGCAATTCGCTCGCCACCAGGAAAAAAAAATTGTGAAAAAACTGGGGTGGTCGTTCATTTTAAGGGTATTTTTCCCCCTTCCCACCTTTTAAAGGCCAGAACGAAACTTTTTCCTCTCCAAAAACTTTAAGGAGGCCTTTCCCTGACCATTTATATTTGCTTGTTTCACCCTCCGCCCTCACTGCCCAAGCGTTTTGTACCTTCCCAGAGGTCGACGGTTTGGAATATGTCTGTGGCCAGAATCCCATAGTTCTCCGCTGCCTGCAAAAATTTTGAGATCTGCTCCATCTGTTTGAAGGCCATGCTGGAAGCTTGGATCTTATCCACCGGCCCTTTTCCTGGGGGGTAAAGGCTGTTGATCAGCTTGGACAGCACCTGAGGAAGATGAGCGACAAGGATAGTGAAACTCAAAATCCCGTAACGGCCTAGCCCTCGTCTCTCTCCGATTTTTTCGTATCGGCTTCAAATAAAGATCATTTTATTTTCGCAAACTCTTTTTCACAAAATAGCAGAAATAAGTCCTCCCTGCTCTTCCCCTTTTCTCAGGCCATTTCTGCCCCTTAAAAGGTGAGTCAGGGATACTGGATTGGCTGTTGCCACACAAAATAATTCATATACAGTGGTACCCCGCATAGCGAGCGCCCCGTTTAACGATGAATCCGCATAGTGACACCTTTTTTGCGATCGCAAAAGCGATTGTATTGCGATGTTCTCAATGGCCAAAAATCGCATTGCGATGATCAGTAAGTGTTTTGCTTACCGATCTTCGCATTGTGATGTTTTAAAAACAGCTGATCGCCGCTTCCAAAATGGCCGCCGGAAAAAAATGGCCGCCCCCCAGCGTTTTCACATGGTTTCCCTCGCATACCGGGCGGCGAAAATGGCGGCCGTATGGAGGATTTCCGCATAGCGGTGAGTTCCCCCCCATAGGAACGCATTAAACGTGTTTTAATGCGTTCCTATGGGGTTTTTAGTCCCACATAGCGACAATCCGGATAGCGATGATTTTTTTCAGAACGGATTATCGTCGCTATGCGGGGCACCACTGTAATATCTTGGGGTACTTTTAAGAACACAGTGACAGAAGTTTGATGTCACTTGAATTGCCAGAGTTTCAATCTATGAAATTCTGGGGATCATAATTTTTTAAGGAGATGCTTAGAATTTTTTGGTTGGAACCTCCAGGAAAAGACAGAGAATCCTTGGTAAAGGTAAAGGTTCCCCTTGACATTTAGTCCAGTCGTGTCCGACTCTAGGGCGTGGTGCTCATCCCTGTTTCCAACCCACAGAGCTAGCGTTTTTGTCCAAAGACAATCTTCCGTGGTCACATGGCCAGCGCGACTAGACCGGGAACGCTGTGACCTTCCCACCGAGGTGGTACCTATTTATCTACTTGCATTTTTGCATTTTGCATGCTTTCGAACCACTAGGTGGGCAGGAGCTGGGACAAGCGACGGGAGCTCCCTCCATCACGTGGATTCGATCTTACGACTGCAGGTCTTCTGACTTTGCAGCACAGAGGCTTCTGCAGTTTAATCACGTCCCCGGGTAACCTTGGGACCTCAGCAAATACGTTATCAGATGGTTACACCAATGTTCTTACACCAATAAGCAACTGGAATTATTACTTTTTAATTACCTTTCTTAAAACATACATGAAAAGGCATAAACTAGTAGGGGCCACCTATCCCCCACTCTGTAAAATGAATTTTAAAAGTTACAGCCATCTTACAAGAGGCATGAACTTCTACTGCATTCTTCTCTTTTTAAAATCATAATGTAAATGAGCTAACTTTTAGTTTTTTGGGGGAGGGAATGGGGGAGAGAATTAAAGACAACTGACTCATTTGCAACAAGAAACTCTGAAGTTCTGTAGGAGGATAGATTGAGTTACAAGAAGGGTATATTGAGGGTTGGGGGGGCAGAATTGGCTGTTTTTGGAAACCTATACAGCCCCTCCCAAGTCTAGAGAAGAGCAAAACGATGATCCACCGAAGTTGCCAACTCCATCACTTAGTGCACGAGGCAAAACGCTTGTCCTTCTTAAGTCAAAGGAGTGCCTTACCGTGCCGTCTTTTAGCCACTTCTGAAAGTTGTCCTTCCCAGGCTGGGGTTGCCCAACCTCTGGGCCACATTGGGCCACGATCCACTGGATGAGAATCTGCTCCAGTTCAGGGTCATACTGCCGGTCAATCTTCTGTTGAACCTCCCGGCTCAGTCCATAAGCAGGCCCCCGGTTTGCCATGACGTTGAGGCTGTGTTCTCCTGTGGACAGAAGGCAGAAGAAGAGTTGATTAAAAGAGACAGAAGATGAGCATCAATTAAGCAGCACAGCACTCCTGAAAAAATTAAAAACACATACAGTGGTGCCTTGCTTAACGACGTTAATTTGTTCCAGCGAAATCGCTGTAGAGTGAAAATGTCGTAAAGCAAAATAAAAAAGCCAACTGAAATGCAGTGAAAACCGTTCAACGCGTTCCAATGGGCTGAAAAACTCATCGTCCAGCGAAGACCCTCCATAGGAGCGGCCATTTTCGGTGCCTGTAGAGCAAGGAATCTGTCCAAAAACACAGCGGGGAGCCATTTTGAGCTCCTGGTGGCCATTTTGAAAACCCGACGATCAGCTGTTTTGATTATTGTAATGCGAAGAATCGGTTCCCGAAGCAGGGAACCGATCTTCGCAAAGCGAAATTCCCCCATTTAGACCATCATTTTGTGATCGCAATTGCTGTAGCAAAAACATCGTCGTGAAGCGGATTGGTCGTTATATGGGGTAATCGTTAAGCGGGGTACGACTGTATTCCCTTTACTCCCTACGTCAGAGGTGACCGTTTGTGGTCCTCCCAATGTTGAGAAGGTAATTCCCATCAACCCTAGCTAGATACGACAGAGGGATCGTAGGAGTTGCAGTTCATAACATCTGGAGGGCAAGATGCCCCCCCTTCCCGCACTGTATATCCTATAAAGAGGCCGGCCACAGAGACTGGCGAAGCGTTAGGAAAAACAACCTTCAGAACACGGCCAAAGAGCCCGAAAAACCCACAACAACAATTTTAGGAGGAATTCATCTTTAGTTCTGCCTAATTCAGACAACGTTGCAGGGTATCTGACTGAACAGAGCAAGACTGAGAGTCAAACTATACGTGAGAGAAAGAACATCAATAGATCTGTGAAGGACATGAGTGTTTCAGGGACACTATCCATGTTTGAGCAGTCAGAATTGCAAATAAAGTCCATGTTTACTCATGATAACCAGTCACGAATACAGAAGGAGGCAGAACAAAAGGATCGAAATTACATTTCATCACATTGTGAGCATATTGTAACATACTCATACCTCAGTTAAGACAAAAAGGGGGGAAAATGCAAGGTGTTTAATTACAAATATCTCAAACAGCAGGCTTGAGAATATGTTGTTATTCAGATACAGAACTATATATAGTTCGCTATTATCCATGGTTTTCATTATCCATATAGGTCTCTCTCTCTCTCTCTCTCTCTCTCTCTCTCTCTCTGTGTGTGTGTGTGTGTGTGTGTGTAGAGCATGGTAAAATTAAAAAACCAGAATTTTTTTTTCACATGCATTAACAGACCTGGCTGCTAGATGGTGCCAGAGACAATGCTATGTGGAATGTATTCTTCACTAACTGGTATTCATAGCACAGTCTATGGCTCCCTCTAATGGCCAGTTCTGGTAATACATGTGAAAATAATTTTCCTGGTTTTTAAAAATATATATTTTGAATACTTTTCAGACCATGGACAAGTGAAACTGCAGATTATGATCCCATGGATACAGGGGTCCTACTGTAATGCTCTTGTCATTACATGCCTTCACGTTACTATGCAACTATGAATTAATGACCTCCAAAGAATCCTATCGTCAACAATCCTGCACGAGTCTTGCAAACTCCTTTTATGGACGTAATAACCTTTATTGGCATCTGGAAAGAAACATATAACACAATTGTCTCATGTTTTCACAAAGCACAAACTTATTTCCTTCTCCAGTACGACAGTGTACTTGCAATAAGATCTCTACTGCCATTTCCTGTTCTGAACACAGCTGGAGCTTCTCATTTGCCACCCCATGTATTCTAGAAGGCTTTGTTGCAAAATCTTGAGTATTGCTTTACTTATATGAAAAGATAATACAATGGTTCCAGAGCTGTCATCTTTGGGACTACACATTTCATGCTTCCAGTCTGCTTTGTTGCCCCTTTGTTTGGCATACTCTTGTTAGATTTGCATACTCTTGTTAGTTCTCAGGAGCTTACATATTTGTATCAGTATCTCCCCTCTTCCTGGCAATTTATTTCTTCTAATTGCTGAATCACTCTACTTTCTAAAATTGCAGGTTCTTCCTTATTAGAATATTCTTCTTTAAATGAATCTATCATTATCATTGCATCTATTCTGTATAGATGCAGTATATTGTTTCCACCGTTCCTTTAGCATGACAGGATAAGACATTCTTCTGCTGATCCTTCAAGCATCCCTAATCACAACTTAAAATTTTCTTTGCTTTCTTATATATACAGTGGTGCCCCGCATGGTGACGATAATCCGTTCCAGATAAATTGTCGCTATCTGGAAACGTCGCTATACAGGGCAAAAAAACCCCCATAGGAATGCATTAAACCCTGTTTAATGCGTTCCTATGGGGACAAAACTCACCGTTATGCGAAGATTCCCCATACGGCTGCCATTTTCGCTGCCTCGGTAAGCGAGGGCAGGGCATGAAAATGCTGCAGCCGGCCATTTTCTTCATCCGGCGGCCATTTTGGAACCGCCGATCAGCTGTTTTGCAAACATCACAATGCGAAGATCAGTAAGCGAAACGCTTACTGATCATCGCAATGCGATTTTTGCCCATTGGAATCATCGCAATGTGATCACTTTTGGGATCGCTAAACCGCATCGCTATGCGGATTCGTCGTTAAACGGGGGGGCTCGCTATGCGAGGCACCACTGTAATGGAATAAATCTCATGTCTTCTCTCCCCCCCACCCAATTTTTGGTTGTTCTTTATTTATTTGAAATAATTATTATTAGAGCTCTGTTTTGTCCAAACAGGCAAATCGACAAATGCCCATTTATACAATTTTGTGGTGGACCCCTTCGCACATGGCAGGAGAGGAAGCTGAACACGTTCCATGTGCATTGTCTCCGACACATTCTTGGGATCACCTGGCAGGACCAAGTTCCAAATAGAATAGTCCTAGAACGAGCTGGAATTTTTAGCATGTATACATTACTGAAACAGCTACGTCTACGTTGGCTTGGGCATGTCGTGAGAATGAGAGTGAAGCAGAGAAGCTAATTTTCCCTGCCAAGGTCTCTATCATCTGTAGACACTGTATTGTTGCTATTGTTGTTGTTGTTGTTATAGCATCTTTTTCCTTTGAGAAGCAAACCACACAAAAAAAGACATCATGGAACTGATGGGCGGATCAAGAAGGAAACCAACTCTACAGCACTCCTGATCCTTAAAGTGTCTGTGCAAATAAAGCAGCTGCCGCAAGAGTTTGTGCAACTGTAGTTCAAGACCTCTCGAGCGTGCCAAGGAACATCCTGTACTCTCAAATAAAGAGAGAAGAAATATTTTGCAGGGTTTCGTACTTGCATACAACGATGGACACCCTTAATCGTTATTCTTCAGGAACAACAGATTGTGAAGTCGTGTCCTCGAATTGCCAGACTGTTCCAAACTGACCTCCCATATTTTTCTTGCACGGGGCCGTGTGTTCCATCGAGAAACTCCCGAGGGGGAGCATAACTCTATCAAGACCAGCGGGCAGCTTTTGGCTCTGTCAGCCCAGCCCTCGGTAAGCAAGCCACTCAAGCAAGGCTTCTGGTGGAGGAGCTTATCGGCAAGCCTAGACATTTCCTCACAAAGGTTTCGCCAAGTTGCACGGCGGTCACGAGGAAAATGCGGTTGCTTCTAGATGCTGCCCCACCCAACAGAACAGCATGCTGTCTATCCCACAGACTGCCGCAGAACACAGACAGAGTCCTGACTCCTGTCCTCTGAAGAGGCCGGCCACAGAGACTGGCGAAACATTAGGAAGAACAACCTCCGGATCGTAGCCAAAACAGCCCAAAAAACCTACAACAGCCATCGGATCCCGGCTGTGAAAGCCTTCGAGAATACAGCATGTTGTCTCGTTTGTCGCAGTAAAAGCTCAGAACCCTACTGGAGCAGAGGGTGGAAGCGATGTGGCCCCAAGATCTCCTCCTGAACCTCTCTTGCAGCTGCTAGAATTGTGACACAACATTGTAGGTGAACACACTAGCTGTAACACTACAGGCCAAACCCTGTTCCATGTCAGTGCAACATGACGTTATCCCTGAACAAACAGGCCAGGCGTATGCCAAGGCAACAAGGAATTGTACCATTACAGTCGTGCCCCGCTTAACGAGCGCCCCGTATAATGACGAATCCGCATTACGTTGACTTTTTGCGATGTTTTAATTGGTTATTTGCGCTTAGTGACAATCGGTTCCCTGCTTCAGGAACCGATTTTTCGCTTTATGACGATCAAAACAGCTGATTGTCGGGTTTTCAAAATGGCCGGTGGCTGCTCAAAATGGCTCCCCGCTGTTTTTAGGAGCCATTTTTCACTATACAGGCACCCGAAAATGGCCGCCCCTATGGAGGATCTTCGCTGGACGGTGAGTTTTCAGCCCATTGGAACGCATTGAGGGGTTTTCAATGCGTTTCAATGGAGTTTTTTCCCGTTTCGTTTCACGTTTTAACTCTACAGCGATTTCGCTGGAACGAATTAACATCGTCAAGCGAGGAACCACCGTAAATAGTCACACGTCCCAGACACGAGAAACCGCGCAATGCGCTGCGGCAGAAGTGTTTCAGCAACAGAAGTTCCTCTTTGGCTCTATTGGAACTGCTGCTATTGGGGGAATTTTTTATATATACAACAGCCTTATAATCAAGTGTCATTTTGGGTCACTTTTCTTGTTAAGTACTTTCCAAAAACGATTAAAAGGAGCATGTCAACATACTAAGCTGTCGTGATGTTCTGTACTAGTTTACAAGTCATTTTTTAAAAAGATAGTAAAATAAACACCCAGCTCTGTTCTGGAAAGAGGCCCTTACTTAAAACGCCGATCACAGTGTGTCTCTGCCAGCCGTAGCAACCACAACACAACCCAGAAGAATCTGGGAACGATCTCATTCTATTTTCCTACACTGCCCCATGCAATGTTACTCCAAGGTATTGCAAGAAACTCAACAGTTGGCTCGG